AGATCAACTATCCATGACGGTTACATAATGATCTAACGGCTACAAATCTCGACGGAATGGTTACGTAACGGGACTGTAGCATTTCCCTACATTATGTTACCATATCCATTTAACATCCATTCAACCTCCAATCAACCTTGATTTTAACTGACCTGTCAAGTTTTTTTTTGTGGTATATTTCTGTAAAATATATTGAAACATATACATAAAATATACTTTAAAATATATTATTAATAAAAACGTGAAAGATATATTGTTAATAAAACGTGAAAGATATCTTTTTAAACTAGAAATATATTGTTAATAAACTAAATTAAACTAGCAATATTTATGATTGTCCAGTCTTTTTTTTATTTATAAATTTTCACGACCTCATTTTTTCTGGTATATTTTACTTATATTTCCAGTATATTTCCGGTAAAATATAACGTGCTCAACAAAATCACGCGAGAGATAAATTTTCACGACCTCATTCCTTTTTTTTTTAGAAACCTGCCGCAAATCACGCGAGAGATAATTGGATGAAGTCCTACTTTTATGTAACTGAATTTTAGGCATTTCTGTAGTTAATTTTGGACAATTAGGTAGAATTACAATATCTTTTGTGTGGATGGTATTTTTTCAATAATTTGTATTTGGGGCAGGAGGGATGAAAATATCCCTTAATTGTTTTCTTAATAAGTTAACAATATAGCACCACAGTTAGTGGGCCGCACCAACTAGTATACAAAGCTTTTATTTTTGAGAAAATTGCACACCATACAATATATATCAGTTTTAATTACATAAATAAAACCACATTGCAAATATTAGCAAATATACAAGATTCCACTTTTATAATTGTAAAATTGCCAGATAATTAAAATTGCAAAACTGCCAGATAATTAAGTCACCATATTTAACGTTGACTTATCACCTAACAAACTTAATGAGATTTACTTTTACTCTCTCTCTCTCTCTCTCTCTCTCTCTCTCTCTCTCTCTCTCTCTCTCTCTCTCTCTCTCTCTCTCTCTCTTCTTCATATCTCACAAAATTTTAATGGGACTTGAAACGGAGCGGAGGCTAGGGCTTCCCGGAGGCGGCGACGGCGAGGTGGAGAGGAACGAGATGAAGAGAGTGTTTTCGGATATCTCTAGCGCCAGTGGCAACGGCGGGGAGGAGGAGAGAAAGACAGAGGCGGTGGGAAGTAAGAATCAAGTGGTGGGGTGGCCGCTGGTGGCGGCTTACCGGAGGAAACATAACTTCGGCCGGGCTAAGATGTACGTGAAGGTTAGCATGGACGGGGTAAAAAATTGGAGTTATATATTCGGTATACATATGTTCTGTATATGTTCGATATATATTCGGTATACATATATAAACCCAAAAAATTGGAGTTATTTTCTGTATATGTTCGGTATATGTTCGGTAAACATATATAAACTCATAAAATGGTATATGTTAGGTACATATGTTCGGATGGATCTGGTGTTATTTTTCTTTATATGTTCTGTATACGTTCGGTATATGTTCTGTATACATATATAAACCCCATATATATATATATATATATACACACACACACATTAGATCGGAAAAACCCATAAAATATACTGCATATATATACATAAACTAGTTTCAAAACGAAGATAATAACTGATTTCTACCAGAAAAAGAAATGGGGAAGAAGAAAAAAATTAAAGAGAGGAAAGAGAAGCGAGAGAAGAATCGGGGAAGAAGAAAAAAATTAAAGAGAGAAAAGAGAGAGAAACGAGATAAGAATTGGGAAGAAGAAAAAAGATTTCTACCAGATCTTATCTCTATCTATGATGTTACTAAGTCTGGTGTACATACATATATTTATGGTAGAGCAGGTATCTTTGCAAATAATTTTTTTGATTAGTACTTTTACAATTATTTAGGAAACAGTATGGTAACTATGTAAATTCGCCTTATTTTTTCCCTTTTAACATACAATTCTATGTATTATCGTATTAATGCTTGGTCCGTGCAGATGCATGGGAAAATAATATAATGATTGTGTTATAAATTAAATATATAAATAACATTAATCAAAATTTATCATTTTTAAATTAAAACGTGTTTGGTCACAGTCCGATCGGATAAACAGTCTAGTTCGCTTGAATAAAATATTTGCTATCGATTCCGTCAACACTAGTCGGTTGAACTGGTAGGATCGATACGATTTTCTAAATAGATTTTGCTACATTTAAAATCATTTTAAATAAAATTGCATATTTAAATAAAATAGAGATTTATAAATTGTTTATAAATCTTTTTAAATACATTTCTATCCATACCAAATAAAATTCATACCATTTAAATTCGGAAATCTCATACAAAATAAAATCACCACTTTATATAATAAATTGAAATTTACTAATAACAACACATTTCCTACCAAAAATAAATTGGCCATCAAGTACATTAAATAAAATTTCACACTTTATACGAAAACTAAATTTATTAATGTCAATATTATACCATAAATTGATTAATTAATTTTTAACGATGAGATTTTTAAATGTTCTTTAAAATATATTAACAAATTTAGTAATTTTAAAATTTTTAGGCGAAATTTTAGTTTTTATTTTAAATAAATAAAAACCGAATGTGTTGATTTTGGATTTATCAATATTTTACCCAAATTTTAGCAAAACTCTTGCAATTTTGATTTTAAATTTACCAATATTTTCCTTAAACATAAAAATTGTTAAAAAATTCCTTTGTGATGCTAAACTAATATCCGTTTGTGCAATTCCCTAAAACATGTTATTGTTAACAAATTGTTCAATTCACTAAAATATGTAATTATTAAAAATAAAAATTAGTAAAATAAATAAAACATATTTTGTTGAAAATTAATCATCACTAATTAAGTTTGTTCAACTCGCTCATATTAGTATTGAACAATAAAAGTTAATAAAAGATATGTGATGCTATTTTCTAGGAAAAAAACTTTTAACAAATAAATTAAAATAAAAATACTTAAATATTTATACTATATTGTAAATAAAACATACTTTATTGTTTTATATTAATTATTTCATTCACTACTTTAAGAATAAATGGTTGAATAAAAAATGTTCAAATTTATATTGAAAAAATGAAAAAAAAAAGGTATATGACATTATTATAATTCTAAGTTATTTGGTTTCCTTAAAAAAATAAAATCCATCCGAGCCTAATCACAAAGTATGAGATGTTGTCTCGTAACATCTTGAAACGTGCGGATATGACACTTAAATTGAGCAAATTCAAAAATTATATATATAAATAAATATCAATCATTTTATTAATGAATGAATTACAAATTAATGTTTTCTATTTATATTTTATGTTATCTTTCATTTAAATTATTTGATATTATCAGTATTCAATTATTAGAATACATAGTAGCATAAAACACAACCTAATAAGTTATTTACTTATGTTGTACGATTTCACAGGGAATTATAGTGTGTATGAAGGCCATGATAAACTAATGAAGTGGCTAAATCCTATTGGCTTGTAATTAAGGGTATGGTTCCGTTGAAATGAACAACGGGATTTTAGACTTTTCCTATGTTATTATGTACTGTTGAGCAAAATAGGAGAAAAAATGAGTTCAACCGTGTGATTTGGTCGTTATGATAATGATTCTCTTTTAGCATGCAAAAATTCCTATTCTATATTTTTTTTAGCAATGCAATCCGGTTATTATTTTTCATTTTTTTTTTTCTATTTTTATACGATTTTTGCAAAAATCAATACAAATGCACGAAAATATCGAAGCAAAGTAACAAACCAAATTGAATCTGGACATTTTGGTGCGATTCAGTTCCGTGTTAAAAAAATTTGGTTCAATTTCGATTAGATTTTTTCATACGTTACTGTGTGTTTAGTTATTTTTTTTTATATGTTGGATTTTTCGATTATTTGTGGTTTGGTGCTAGACCGCTTTGTCGCACACCCTTGTGATTTTCACTAGTTGTGGTCTCCTGATTGTTTTTCACAATTTAAAATCTTAGACTACTTTTATTTGTGACCTAGGTCACAAAGTTGAGCGACACAGGTCACATTGTTTTTCACATTGCGACCGGTATACTTGGGAAAAATGGGACATTTGTCCTATTTTTACTGGACAAGTTTATTTTTTTGGTTTCTAAAAAAATACGAAAATTCATATTTTTCATTATCTACAAATAGAGACCGCACTTGATATATTTAAAACACAATTGCAATTTTTAAATAAATTAAAATAAAATAAATATTTAGGTTGAGTTGGTGAAAAACGAACGGAACCGAAAAAAACGAAAACCAAAAATGGTGCATTTCTTCACCGAACCGGACCGCACGAGAAAGAAAAGTCGAACCAACCATTATGCCATTACAAAACTAAACAACCATAATAATTATTAAGTTCAACACTATCAGCACTCAAACTATCACATAGCAGCACCAGCACAAACGTAAAACAACATCACAGAGACTGAGAACGAGGTGAGATCACAACAACAACTGAAGAAAGACAAGAGGACGAATCGAAATGAGAAAAGGAAAAAAAAATCGAGAGACTGAGAGCTTACCTAAATTGAGGAAGCTGGTGGAATGGAATGACGAGCCGCGAGCTAACCCGGAGGGCGAGGGATTGAGAACGAGGTGAGATCGCCGGAGGGTGAGAGCGGGGTCGAGAACTCCGGTGGGTGAGAGCGGGTTTGTGTTGAGATATAACAACCTTCCTACTAATCTCCTGTAAACATCAGCTAAAGGCAAAGGCAAACCATCCTTACTTTTCAAGAAAAGACCATGTGGAAGAGGAGTTGCAGCAGTTCTGCTATGCTCCAACTTTAAATCCTTAAGCATATCCAAAATATACTTCTTCTGACTAAGGTAAGTCCCATGATCTCCTCTGGCAATTCCCACACCTAGGAAAAATTTAGCAAATCCCAGATCTTTAATGGTAAACTCTCTGTTTAAGTATTACTTTAAGTCCTCAATAAGCTTTAAGTCTGGTCCCATCACAAGAACATCATCTACATATACCAATAATGCAAGAAAAGTATCCCCAGTGGATTTTGTAAACAGACAATGGTCATTCTGTGACTGAATAAAACCATAGGCTAGCAGTTTATCACAAAATTCTTGGTTCCACTCCCTGGAAGCCTGTTTAAGCCCATAGAGGCTCTTTCTTAACCTGCAAACTTTCCCACTGTTTTGTCTATCATAGCCCTGTGGACACTCCATATATATTTCCTCTTTCAAACTACCTGTTGTGTACAAATTATTTTTATTTTACCGAGCACCGAATCAAATGATTCGTTTCCCGGGTCTTTCTCTTGAGGAAGACTATTCGGAATTTAGAATTGATATTGATAGCACATAAAAACAAAATAAACCTAAACATTCTAATCAAGATAGATTGATAATGATTCATTATTAACTATAAATAATATAAAACAACTAAAATGATAAATGAAGAAAATGCGAAAGATACTAGGGAATCGGGAATAAATGTTTTGAATCGAAATGCAATTATCGACTTGTGATTGTTCGGTTAAAGAATTCGAGTCACCTACACGTTTAGAGATTTATCCTCAATACCTTTTGGATTATGAAAATAAATATAAACGGTAAATTAACGAGTTATTTAACACATAGACAATACCTTTCGGATTATGTCTATTTTGTATGAGTCTCGATCGAGTGACCTCTTCCCTTTCGGTTCAAGAGTCAATTAAAATAGACTATAGGATTTTTAGTCGTCTAGTCTATTCGGATAGTGATCGTCACAATAGAACACATCATATTCAATTTGAAAACAAGTTTAACATTGAAGTGTCACTCTTCAATACTTAGAAATCAATTCCAAGGTTGAATTGTCACTTTTCAACAATATGTCATTCCAAAGTAAAAATCAAAAACCGAATTTAGAATTAACTCATACAAAGTGAACAATCGACGAGTACGATAATCACATACAAAATCAAATATTCATCCCTATCCCTAGCAAATGATTTAGCTATTCATATAAAAAAAATAAACTCAACATAAGATTCATTGCAAATTATCATTACAAGAAAAACAACTTACAAGTAATCCAAGTCGAGAAATAAAGTTGATACAAACGCCATACCGAAAATAAATGCACGCCACACCGGAACAAGTACAAGCCTTGGAGAACACCTCCAAAATTCACAACCAAAAGAGAAACTAATCTAAGACAACATATAAGAATGATGGTAGTGGTGAGGATGATAATATTTTGGATTGTGAGGGATAGATGTTGGTTAGATGATGGAGGTATTTATAGATATATCATCAACCATAATCCACCAACATCAACCACAATTTACCAA